AACTTATATTTTTAGTAGCAGTAGAACTCCCCGTGAACGAGTTCGTCCAGGGAAATACTGTCACCTTACTGTGTATTTCTGCCTCCAAGCAGTAATGTGGGCATTGCTGTTCGGTTTTTTTTGAAAGTTGAAAGGCAAATGTGCTGAGAAAATTGCAGGCTCACGGGACTTGTCATCTTGTGACTCAGGCTGACAGGCGCAGTGGCAATGTCTCTCAGATCTTTATATATATAGAAAGATAATAACTTTATTCACTAACATGACACATAATTATGTTCAGATTAGTTTTCTCTTCCTAATTCGGTGGTAATTTGTATTAAATTTAATACTCGAGTGTAATATCCTGAAATATTGTTTCATATTTCACAATAAATTGCCACCGAAATTAGGTAGACAAAACTACCCCGAAATTTACCCAAGCATAGATTAAATATAAGAGAATAAATAAAACATTTTTGTCATAGCAGTGAAAGGGCGCTGACTCAGCATATGCCTAAGTTCCCTAAGACGCTGGTTTTCAGTCAGGCTCAACAAGAGGGACTAAATGTAGAAGTTATTTGTAAAGTGAAAATGTTCATTGAAATAATAAATATAATAAATTGTGAATAGTGCATGTAAAGTAACCTATTTGATATGTACGTGTGTGTATAGATATGAATATCAGTTTTGATAAGATTGTGAATATGGTTTAGTGTAATAAATCAAAGTTAAAATGTATTTTAGAAAGTTATAGGTGGTGTACCGATTTTACGACGACCACCGAATAGCTATTTTTGTAACTAATTTGGTTTATATTGACGAGCTGTAATTTATCGACGCTACTCTAATTTCTAGTGATAACAGACAAATCAACTAAATGGCGCTTATTTCACAGATTTTTATGCTGCCGATTATTCGTATTTTATTTAGGATTATCGCCATCTACCCATATTGGCAAACGTTACATTTTAAATTAGTTTGTAACACACAATGCCATCCATTAATATGCATATTTGTCAAAGTTCAGAAAATAATTTTAGGTCATGATCAATATTTGAATAATAATGAAGATAAAAACTGACCATTTATATTCCATAATAAAGAGAAAGTAATTGATATCCACGGTCATTTACATAATATGGATTTTGACCTTTTTCAGGGTTGCGATGTAGTATGGAGATTAGCAGTTCTCTTGAGTTCAATCCAAGGCATAACTATTCAGTAATCTCTGACAAGGTAACAGTGACATTTCAACAAACAAGACAGATTTTTGTAATGAGAGGAAGTGTTGCCGGTAAAATGCTTTGAATTTGTGTTTGGAAGACTCAATTCGCATCTCTAATATAAGTATTTTACATCAATTGGATCTCTGTGTTTTAACAAATACACGCGAATTAGTGTAAAAAAAAGTTACACTTTCAATATTAAATGCGTGAAATTACAAACATCATCATCACAATCTTTGTCTTCGCACGCACGACAAAAACTATGTAACCTACCAATTTCAGTATTTTTATGATTTGTAGAAACCTTAGTTTATGTAACACGTAGTACCCACCCACTATCGATTCAATATTCTTTTCGTGGAGAGAAAAATATTATGATACGGTTACGGGTTGTTAAGTGGTGCTTGAATATAGTTTTGCATTGTATTGTACCAAAATAATGTATTTTTTAGGACATGGATAGATACTATGATAATAATTGCCTATTATTATACATTTATATTGTCTGCCACGCAGCGATACCGAAACCGGGACAAATATATGTATGGCCTACATTTATTTCTCTCGTGAGTTTCTGTGTAATTTGTGGTTGTCAATGTGTGTGTCCATGGCACCCGCGATACAGGGTTTCACTAGTGCGGGGCTATGAGCGTTGCGTTATTATTATATTATATTAAATACGAGAAAAAAAAACTGTATGTTGGGAACCGCCGTAAAGTTGCCTGCTTATAGGTATTCTACAGGATATATAATGGAGAGTGTGCAATGGAATTGCATAATTTGATTCCGCCTTCCCCTTTCCATCATCGGGGGACTAGACGTGGGCTGGGATTCCACCGCTATGTTGTAGATATTCCCAGGATTCGCTCGAAGCGTCTCGCTTCCACATTTATATGGCGAGCGACTAGAGAGTTAGAATTCCTGACCTTTTCAAGGCGAGAGTGAATGGACATTATTTAGGTGTGCATGCTACATCGTCGGCCTCATTATCACTTTCCATCAAGTCAAATGCGCACTGGTTTGGTCTCAAATTAGGGAATTTCTAAAAACATTGACTTTAAACGAGTTAGCCGTGTCAAGATACTCTATGTGTATATAAAAAAGTTATGAAGTCGGTTAAAAGTATATTACTAACACTACTATTACAATATCTAAAACTAGTTAGTAGCGTGTCTCTCTCGAATTTCTCGCATCACGACCTGAATGCGTCGTTTCACGAAAATGCACCAACAAAAGCAAGAGGAAAATTGCAATGTTATTGTGAAACTTTCTCAGAAACAGTTTAATGCAACACCTGTCAAGACTCGCTCCTAGAATTCCAGCTTCAGCGATTTCAAATTAAATTATGAAGTGTAATTTAAACTTGAAGGAAACCCCTTATTAATTGAATTAGTCAGTTTTTGTAGCAGTAGAGCTCCTTGCGAAAGAGAGAGAGAAGTACTGCCACCTTACCTATATCTGTAGCCAAGTAGTAATGTGAGCATTATTGCATTCCGATTTGAAGGGTGTTGGTTAAACTACAGGCACATGAGACTTTTCAACTTATGTTTCAGGTTGACGGGCGCTGTGGCAGTGCCCATTGAGCGGCATTGCAACTGTTATAGAACGGCGTGACGCTTACCACGAGGCGCACGACTTGTTGGTCCCGTCACTAAGTATCATAAAAAAAGTAAAAGTTTTAAATTTTTATTGAATTGATATTCAATTATTTTTTGTGAAATTACTCCACTAGTTTATTATAATTATTAATACAAAGATCGAACACTCAGAAAAAATTCCTTCGATCCGGCCGGATTCGAACCGACTTCGTTTTTTCGTCCGTTTTCGTATATATATGTATATTTTTCCAAAGTTATTGATTTGACTACTTTCAACTTTGTGCGGAAGCAACTAAAGCCATATAACGTAGTATAGACTCGTAACGGAAAATCTAAACCGCAACAAATACCTCTTCCACCCTTTAGATTAAATTTACCATGAAAAGTTAACCGAAATCAGTAACCTCTTGCTAGATATACAAACAATTATATGAATGGAATTGTGCTCTTTATCTCTTTTGAGATTAAAGGAGTTTGTGGCATGAATAATTAATGTTTTTAATTGTGAGACGTGAGATTTGACTTTTGTTAGAGGTATATCTGTATAGTGGCTAAATTTAGCAACATTTGGTAATTCTTTTTTTGAATATTATAATATTAAAAAAAAGATGAGCTAACTAGCAAAAAAAAATTATTTGCTCTTCTATACCAAGAAAAAAATTTATTAAATAAAAAATAAAATTGTTATATTTGTAAACCCTTCTTTTCAATGACATTGTAAGTAGTTATGAATAAAAACCTATATGAAAAGACGGATGCAATTAGAGGAAGCCAATTTGATACGCAAAAGTGGAAAGTTTTAAGCAAATCGATAGTTACCGACCGCAAACCTAAAAACCCATTTTCGCCGGGTTGTTTGTAATATACTAATAACCTCACGGGACTGTGTTACTAACGTCATAAACAATAACTTTTGTAACATAAGCAATAAGTTTACGAAAAATAAACTTTTAAGTTTTTGTTGTACTATCTGACACTTTTTAGGTCTGTATTTTAATAATAATAGTAAGAAATTTATTCATAAGCACATTGACAATAAAAAACGGTTAATAAAGGCACAGTTTCGGAAATGTAGTGAAATCTAGTGCTAATGAAAAGAATGGAGCTACAGGACTACATGCTGCTTTTCAGGTTCCACCTTGATACATGGACATTCGCTACTGACATCTTTATGACAATTAAAAAACAAAACAAAAAAAAAATATTACACATTTTAAATTTGTGGGACATGCTTTAAATAAATTTATTATTTTGATGAGCATAGGAACATATTTCGCAAGTAAAAGAGCAATAAATAACAGGTACAAACGACATTTTTTTTTTATTCCCAGCCCTAGGGAAACCCCGTATCGCATATGCCATGGACACACACATAGACAGCCACAAATTACACCCACACTCACGAGAGCAATAAATAGAGGCCATTGAATCGAACCTGGGACTTCTGCCTGGCAATTCAGTAAGGCAACCATTCAACCACGGAGGCAGTTTGATTGAATTGAACAGCTTTCAACTTCTTCCATACATTTAAATTGACTTATCATCATCATCTTATTTCAGAGCCTGACTCTTGTCGGTGTAACCTCCTCCACTATTCACGGTTCATAGCCAGTTCTTTGACCTCTCTATAGCTGTTCACTTTGATCTTATTTTTTTATTTGTTCACTAAACGCCATTCTTGGTCTTCCTCTCTTTCTTTTCCCTTCTATCCTCCCTTCAATTTTTTAAATTTACGTAGGCGACAAATAAACTAAGTAGAAACTCAAAACAATACAAAGAAACGATTAAATACAATTACGATAGCAACATTTTGATTTCTGTACGTTAAGTAGCCATTGCTTACACTTTCTTTTGAAAGTATTTGGTAGCAAGTTGAAATTTCAATAAATGTGCAAGCGTCCTCCCCGGCTAGCCCCACCCCTCGCTCCTGTGTTTTGCTTCGTACCACTCAGAGTTGTGACTGTTTGGAGAATAGGTTTCCAAACTTTTTGGTTCACCGCCTGCTTAGACAAGATAAAAAAATTCAACGCCTACCACCACAAAAAAATTATAATTAAAAACACTTTTTTTTTCAGTGACGTAACACTTGTGACGTAACTTGTGATTTTTGACAAGGATTTGATTTTTGAAAATATACATATGTATATGTAGTGTAGTTTATATGGATAATTCAGATTTTTTTCTAATGTGCTGGCATCCCCTGGATCAATGTCCCCAATTGCTTTCGAGGCCCCCTTCGCCCTAGGACTCTTCAGCGCCCACTGGTAGGACTCACTTTGGGAAACTACGGTTTAGAGCAATCAACCCTGGAAAGGTTTTTTCCTTTCCAGCTTCGTCTAACGTGCATTTGGAAAATATTACAAGAGAGCGATTGAAAGTAATTTTTTAAAATCTAATTTTATTCGTAATATGGAAAAGTGGAAACATTCTGCTTTTCCACATAACAAATAAAATTAGATTCGAACTGACGTCTTCTAGCATACCGTGCAGACGCTATACCAACTAAGCCACGGAACGAGCTAGCGGACCTCATGAATTTTTCTATGTGCTTGCGTCGTATCTTTGTATTTGGTTTTTCAACGACTTTTCAGCCGTAGCGCCATTTATGAGAAATCTATGATATTTCGTTTAAGGATTTTTTTTCTGAGTGTTCGATCTTTGTATTAATAATTGTAACAAACTAGTGGAGTAATTTCACATAAAATAATTGAATATCAATTCAATAAAAAAATTAAATAAAACTGGAGTTATGATTTTTTCTTTATATTACTTCATTCAACATTTTGTAATTTTGTAATATTTTCCAAATGCACGTGAGCTGTTTTTACCTTTCCAAAGTAGAAATATTTTTATTTTTGTACGAAAGTAATATCTGATGAATAATTAAAAGTCACGGAACAAAAGTTGGTTGTGATGTTAGTAAAACAATGCCACGAGTTTATTAGTATTTTACAAATAACCTTCTATATTATACTTAGCTTATATGTATAACATCTTTTGTACCTTTGTGGAAAGCAAATAAAGAATATTGAATACGCCAGGAGCGTAGCAAGAAGTTTATAGTGTCCCAATGGGTGGCGGTCGTGATATTTGATGGGTTAGGTATCGATTTCGACGCCCTTGTACCTTGGAAATGAAACTATTTTTTTAGCGAACTTCAAAGCGGGAGGATGAATATGATTTAGATACGAAAAAATAGTTTCATAGTTCATACATTAATCACAGGTGACGCTGATGACAAAAAAGCCGTCCTCCGTTGTGGAGTTCTTTAAAATGGGTATGAAAAGGGTCCTAAAGGGTTGGCAACGCGCTCGTAACGCCCCTGGTGTTGCAGGCGTTTATAGGCGACTGTGACCTCTTTCCATCAGGCGAGCCGTATTTGAGGCCGCTGGCGGATTTGCTACGTATTTAACATAAAAATTTATACCAAATACAAATACATATTTACAACAGGCACATAGTGAAATTCCTAAGATCTGCTGATTCGGACTTGTAGCTCAGTTGCTAAGAGCGTTGGCCCCGGTATCGCAACAGACGCTGGTTCGAGTACATTCAGATCAAAGGAATTTTTTCTTTGTGTTGTTCGATCTCTTTTTTATATAAGATTTTTGGCTTGGATTCAAGTCCTTTGAGCCAGGATTTCATTTAATTATCGGGATCCTTATTAAATATTTTCTATTGTGTTAATAATAATAACAACCTAGTGGAGAATTTTCACAAAAAAGAAATGAATTTCAAATAGAATAGAATTGCAAATAGTGTCATTTTCAATATAAGTATAGCCTGGCGTAAACCGAAGAACTCGATATGTATATCGATATCGATATGTATTATGTACAAAGTCAGATAAAGTCAGTAATGCGGACTAAAGCATGAAATTAAAGTTCCAAAGAGTTGACCAAATTTGAAAGTTTAATTTTCAAATGGAATGAAATATTTTTAGTAAAGGAAACATTAAGTCTCTTTTCAAACAAAATCTTAAAAGTCTTCTAAATTAAAAATTTTGGCGTTACTAATTTGTTTCATTCTTTGTTTTTTTTTTGCTTTTGTTTTGAAATCAAACATGCATTCTCATTGACTCAATAGGTCAATGTGCAGTCTGCTAAAATTCGTACAATGTAGGTACCAACGTGGTAATAATGCAGCGCAAATGACTCGAAACATTAACGAACCTTTTTGGTTTGCTCGTTTCTACAGTGGCAATGTTAACGAGCTTAAGGTGAATAATGCCAAGTTGCGAGCTACTGTTGAATCCATCTCAAACATTCTTTAATGTACCTATACCCACCAATACTGACTCAAGCCCGCCAAATAGGTAAAACAAAAAAAAACTATAATAATAACTGTTGAGTTGTCTGAACAATAGGCAACGCGTGTAAAAACCGCAGTATTTTAATGAATCGACACGGAGATTCCTTCCACCTCTTGAGTTCCTCGGAATTTTGTGCGAAATTTAATTTGAAATTCACCGAGAAGAAGAAAAACAATGTGATGAAAACATGTCAAGTCCTCAACCCGTATTGGGTCAGCCAAAGTCAAAGTCTTTGTCAAATAAACATTTATTCCATAGGTAACATTTTTACACTTGAAAACGTATTTTTTTAAGCTATTGCTCGTTCACTACGCTGACTGAGAAGAACGAGCAAGAAACTCTAGGGATTGCTCTTTTCAAATAAACTGCTCTTTTTAAATGCTTTGGAATAATAATAATTACAATAATAATAATAATAATAATAATAATAATAACGGTCACACTCAACATAACCCCGCACTAGGGAAACCCTGTGTCGCGGGTGCCATGGACACACACATAGACAACCACAAATTACACCCAAACTCACGAGAGAAATAAATGTAGGCCATACAAATATTTTTCCCGGCCCGGGAATCGAGCCTGAGACCTCTGCGTGGTAGTCCAGCATGGTAACCGTTCGGCCACGGAGGCAGTTAAAAAGCAGGAATACACTTTGTGTGGAATAATTGTGTGGAATCTAGACTCATACTACTTTATCTAACATATACTCTTCAATTTTGTAATATGACTTTTCAATTACAATACTTTTAATGTAAGTTTTGAATTTAGGAAATGAAAATATTAATATATGCTGCGGAATATTATTGTAAAAACGAATACAGTTCCCCATAAAAGAATCGTTTACCTTAGTTAAACGAAACCGTGGTACCATGAGTTTGGACTTAGTTCTAAGTTAATATTATGGATATTTTCTTTCTTAATGAAATTATGTCTATTTTTCATATTTTTTAGAGTGAATTATGTATATTTTTTAGCGTGGCGGACTATGGCCTAAACCGTCGCCTGAGAGGAGACCCGCGCCAGGCAGTGGGGCGTATAAATTGGTTGATGGTGATATAGTTAAGAAACGTAGCCGTTAATGGTAAGACTTGCACAGAAGTAACCAATACAGCAAACCAACAGATCTTCACCTCTATTTCGACACAATAAAGCATAGGTACTACTGCTTACCATCCTCACCTGACTGGAGTTGCAAATTAAAGCTTTTCATCAACGTCCTTAATTACCCGTCCACCATTTTTTCCGCATTTCAGATAATTAAGTACAAGGGGAAAATTTTTGTTCCCGAAATTAAATTCAGTTTTTCAAGACTTTTGATTGTATTCTTTTTTTATGATACCAAGTGACGGGACAATAAAGTCGTGCTCCTGTGATAAGCGACACGCCTGTCTATGGCAGTTGCAATGTCTCTTAGAGTTTTAATCGCAAAGATCTGAGGGGCACCGCCACCGCGCCCGTCACCCTGAGACATATGTTTAGAAGTCCAATGTGCCTGTAACTTCACCAGTACCCTTCAAAACCGGAATGCAGTAATGGTCACATGAACTCTTTCTCAAGGAGCTCTACTGTTACTTTAATTCACCTTTAAAAAACGACAATGCTGTAACCTCTAATGATAAGTAGATCATAGAAAATTAATTTTTTGTCAAAAATTACGGACAAAAATTCCTTCAATAAACAATTATAGTTTTAAATAAAAAACTTAACTTAAAAAATACTCAAAGTGTAAATAAAATGCATTTCCACTTTTGTATTTTTAAACACGTTTATGAATTACCGTTTGAGCTTGCTCCTTTTCCGCGCGAAATCTTTTTCGGTACCAATTTACTTTTTCGTGAAGGTTTAATTTTTTTCGTCATATTAAAACATCTTCGCTAGAACGTGGGAAGCTGAATAATTTCTTGCGAAATTAACCTCTTAAGACAGGCCGGCTAGAGGGGTGCCGTCAAAATAAATCAAGAACGCGATGCTACAAAGATATATCTAGACATCAACAATCTCACTATATCATCCTATTTGCAATTAGCATGTAAGGTAAGTAGTATTATTTTATAAATTATTGACCAAGTTTTTCATTTACACATTGGTCTTAAAAAATATAAAATAAAAAAAAATGTAAAATGTAACGATGATGATGGTAAAATGCAATCAATTTACATTCTTTTTTTTTATTGACCAAAATACAGGAAAAGTACTTATTTGCTAATTACAAGCTTCGCTCACAAAAACCCTACCGACTTTATCCGCAACGAAGGAGTTCAGTCTATTTAAGTAAAGATAATATAATAGAGCAAAAATCTTAAAAAACTAACTTAATTACTTCTAGACAGGTACAAATACATGCTCTCTTGCATGTGCATATAAATGGTATATAATAACAATTAAGCTACATACAAAATAAATAAAAACATTCAAGCTTAAATGCGCGAGGGCTTAATTGTTAAAAAAACTTTTTTCTCTAATAAGTAATTTATGTATGGCATGGCGTAGCTGTGTGACTTTTGGTTTGTAATTGGTTAGAGTTGGTATTCCAAATATAAATATTTTTGTTCTTTAAAAAAAACCGACTCAAAAGTTTGTGGAATTACCATGAATTAATTACCTACATCCGTTTACCAAGTTTCATTGATATCAGTTAACGGAAAGTGGGTGAAATCCAGAAATCCGGATTCATCTCCTAATTTTGCCACCCTTAGTATGGAAATAGTTTCTTTAAATTTAAATGGGACTACTACTGAGGTACTTCATTTCCAATAAAAAGAAAATCATCTAAATCGGTTCACAAATGTCGGAGTAACCGCTTAACGCTAAAAAAATACAAATTGAGAATCTTTTCCTTTTTTGAAGTCGGTAAAAACTTTGTACCATATTAGTAGTTTATACATGGCATGGTGTTGCTGATCTAAATAAGCTATCCTAAATAAGAATAGGATTGATTCAGTTAAATGGCAGGTTTCAAATTTCAATAAATCGCGATTACAGTCACATCTCTAATAAATCCCGGTGAAAAATCTAAAACAAAGAGCACAATTTCCTGAAACATAAATAACGCAGCCAGGTGCGAACCCGTATAAATACCAGCTTTCTGAACTTACTAATAAGCTGGTTTTCAATTGGTTATATAATCACGTCACACTAACATTTAACAATGTACTTCTAAAAGCGACTTTTCTAAAAGCATATTGATTAAAATCGGCCATTACAAAAAATGATTTTTCGAAAACTGGTTTTCTAGAAACCGTTTCTCTAAAAACAGACCGTTACCGAAGTCACACCACAAGTGTTATTCCAATTTATGTTACTAGCATTACATTTTAATGTAATCTTTTGTGTTGTATGTTTTGTGTACATTTTCAAAATTTTAATGAATCCCATCCATTATTTTTCTTTCTTTTACATAAAAGAGTTAATTATTGATTTCTTGTATTTGAAAGTGAAGCACAAAGAAATTCCATTCATATTTAATTTGAGTTATACTTTCAATGTTGATTGCACAGATCAGAAGTAGAAAATCAATTACTTAACACAAAATAAATTTTGTTCGTGCTTTGCAAATTGCGTGTGCTACAAATTTATCTCCCGTAACCGGCTTTGCGTGAACATTCCGTTTTTACAAATGAAATAGGTATTTCTTTGTCTCATTTTGGTAATTTAATTTACCTTTCTCCGAGCTCTGTATGGAACAAAGAAACCCAAATCAAATCGCTTTCACAGCTGCTTTATTATTTATTCTCCACTCCCACCCTTCTCTCAGACGGGGAGGTTGTCTATCGTTGTATATAATATTCTTGAATACCGTAGTATGATATATATTGGTAGAGCACGAAGTACGGAACATGAAGTAAAATAAATTAAGTCGAAGATCTATATATAAAGATGTTACGTATGTCGTTGAAAAAACGAGTAAGTAGTAGAAGATTAATCTTATTTATATTATCTTAAATAACATTATTGTTTCGTGCGTATTGCCAATTTTATGGCATATAAATAATTTAATTAAATGGATGAAGGCAGATGGAGTAAAGTGACGAAGAAGAGGTTATAGTAACATAGGGTATCCTGTGGCGATTTGGGTGGACGACATCGTCGAAGTTGCGGGCCATAGATGGATGAGACTAGCACAGGATTGTGGATGGATGGTACAAACAGCGGGAGACCTATACTTAACTTGACCTTTTTTCCCTCAGAGGCGGGACGCCTGTAAATTTATTATTGTTTTAAAAATGAAACACGTGTTTATAATAGTTTAGTAGTAACGAAATATTTATTTATTAAAAAAATTAGGGAAAAAACTTTTAACTACTAAAATAAAAAAGACCTAATCTTGCGGGCTTGTTTTACGCCTTCGCGCTATTTATATGTGTCCCGTCTTGTCATAGCGGGACATTGTTAAGTATTTTGGGGACAGCGGGACACGAAGCTTAAAAGCGGTACTGTCCCGCTCAACTGTCACGTTGTCTATACCCAGCGTGGATGATGATAATGATGAACAGTATATCTTCTTCAGCCTTTAGTCACACGTTGTTTAATATAGGCCTCATCATTTGTATGCCATTCCTTCCGATCGTGAGTTTGAATACAGGATTTTTTGGTTCCTTTCATTATATCGTTCGTCCATCTGGCCTTCTGACAGCGCACGTTTCTGCCCCAACGGACACCGGCTCTTATGGCTTTTATGGCTTAAGTAACTCGCCCATCGCCATTTTCTTTGCGCTATGATACGCCCTCTAAAATATTATGTAAACAGTGTATACAGTTTTAATAATTCCTAAATGTCAAATCTTAATGTTAAACCTTACGTCCACTTATACTATACTAAATTTAAGTACTCTTAAACCAATGCTTGCAATGCAAAAGAAAGAAAGACACGTTAAGTTGAAACGGATCGAACTCAGCATATGTCACAATTCGTCTGCTGTAACTCTGGTTTTCAGTTGGAACCGTTTATATAAGATGAGATGGCACGAAAGTACTAACACTAAAATTATAAAATATAACTCAAATATTAACTAAATAAGTTGAAAAATAACTAACAATAGGAAGTATTGAACATGAATTGAATGTATATGAAATACTGCATTTGTTAGGAATTATTACCTACATGAATTGAATGTATATAAAATACTGCACTTCTTATTAATTATTACATGAATTGAATGTATGAAATACTGTTATTATGAGACATTATTATTGAAAAACTAGAAAAGGCTGTCATTATTGACGCAAGCAATTCTATTAAAGTTATTTTTCTTAAAGAAATAAAAATAAACAAGAAATGTTACCTAGCCTCTCAGTTGGAGCTCTAGATAGTACTGTTTTATTTTAATTTTAAAAGATTGAATGGAAAGATACTCATAATACATTGTGTTTATAGTGTCTTATCAAAGCATCGGTTTAAGACATACACATAAATTTAGTGCAAGTGGACATTAACGTCATGCATGTCCTACTTAGTTAATTAATATTCTATGTTCACGTTACTTAAATAACCGCTAAGTGTATAATTATGTTTTGCTAATCAATAAATAAACTTTGCTCACATATTTTCATGAATTTTGTATTTATAATACGAAACAAATCGGTCTATATAATAATAAACTAAAAATCATTATATAACACAGTGTAAGTTACTTTAGTCAACAATTCTTGGTGTACGTAAACAGCAAAGAATAAAGATGGCGGAGCTAGTTACATTTTTATGATACTAAATGACGACGGGACGAACAAGTCGTGCGTTTGATTTTCAGCAATACGCCGCCTGCCCAATATCCATAGCTGTTCCAGGGTCTCTCAGAGTTTTTAATCGTAAAGATCTGACTGGTCACTGCGCACCCTGAGACATAAGTTGACAAGACCCATGTGCCTGTAATTCACCAGCGCCCTAACCCTTCAAAACCATGCATAAACTTCACGCCTTTTTCCCATCGGGGTTGGCAGAAATAACAGTCTTCCACTTGCTACGATCCTGACACACATCTTTCGCCTCATCAACACGCATCAATGCTTTCATACACGCTCGTCGGTTAAGGGTACTCTTGATCTGGCCCTTCTTTAGAATGGCCTCAATTTGGTCATGATAAG